AGCTTGGCAACCTGATTGCTTTAAAGTAATTTTATTCTTTTTTTTTTTTTTTACTGCCTGTACATGTTTTTAAAAAGATGTTGCTTGAAATTAGATTATATAAGCCAATGCCTACTGACAGAAAAATCCATGTTAGGGTTCAGTTAGGGGTTTTTTTCATATTTAAAGTAATATTTATTGGTGCATGTAAGCATTATCTTAACTGTCTTACTGAACTTGAAGTGTTAAATGTGGTCACTGTTGACCGTGTATATTACCATAAGACACAAAACAACCCACTGACCCGGCAAGTTTTCCAGACAGCATTTCCTTTTCCCCGCTCCTCAGGAAAGAGGAAAGAAAAGAAAAGCGGGGTTCAGTATATTTTTATTGAATATCCAATTTCCTTTTCTTCTGAAAGAGCCAAGTATTGGCACTTATGCTTCAACTGTCAGCAAACTAATTGGATCCCCCCCTTTGCTTTGCTATTTAGATAATGTTTTCAGAGAAAGAAACCATGTTCATTCTCCTGTCATCCCAGTCCAGTGTTGCTGTCCTATAAGGATTTCTGGAACGAAACATCTTAGATACATAATACTTCTGATTACCTTGGAAAAAGTCTGTACAGCTCTTGTCTCCTGAAGGTAAGTTGATTTGGATTGTCCTTTAGGGACAGCTACTAAGTAATTCTGTAGCTGAGAAGTTACCCAAGATTTAGTGGAGCATTTAATTTTTTTAAATAAAAATTTTATTTTATACTGGTTTACTTACAAAGCTCACATACATTGTTTTTCACACTGGATCTTTCCCATTTCCTTTATCCACGCCTCCCTCCACCCATCAAATTGTGCCATCCTAGGATTAACCCCCCCTCTCCCCCCCCTTTGGATCCTCATACACATTTTACTAGTAATCTTTTTCTAAAATAACGGTCATATACAGTATTTGTCCTTATGGGACTGAGTTAGTTCATTCAGCATAAAGCTCTCCAGCCCCTCCCAAGTTAGGTAGTGATTTTCAAAATCATTGCTCCTCTATGCTGCGTAGTATTCCATTGTGGGAATGAAGCATAATTTCTCAATCCATTCCATTGATTTTGGGCATTTGGGATGTTCCCATGTTCTTGCGATGGTGAATAATGAGTAGAGCATTTTATATTAGACATTCCATCATCGTGTCATACCTGTTTAGGTCTAAATCTCCCTGTGGTTAACAGTATTTAACAGCTTTGTACAGATACCTTGTACAAAGTTCTCTTTTAGAGTCAACCTCTTTTACTGAGAAATTATATTTGTAAGTAAGCAAAAAGGAACAGAAATACCTCATTCCTAGTTTTAGTGATCTTATTTGCCATTAAACAGCTTATGCGTTTATCAGTATGAGAACAAATTATTTCAATTTCCCTCATCCCCCCATCAAATTGTACAACCCATTGATTAATCCCCCTCCTCTCCGCATATCCACATCCCTCTGCTTCCAGCCTTTTCCACTCCTTTTGGATCCTTATACTCATTCTACAATAATGGTTTTTATACAGTATTTGTCCTTGTGGGACTGAGTTAGTTCACTCAGCATAATGCTCTCCAGTCCTTCCCAAGTTAAGTAACAATTTACAAAGTTATTGCTCCTGAGTGCTGCATAGTATTCCATCGTGTGAATGTACCATAATTTCTCAATCCATTTGTTTGTGGTTGGACATTTGGGTTTTTTTCCAACCATCTGGGTTGCGATGGTGAATAATGCTGCTAGGAACATTGAAGTACAAATCTCAGTATGAAATGCCAGCAAGCAATCATATTTTGAAGAATGGTTTTTTGTGGGTCCCCCTCCCCCAAATCGAATGAAGAAGACAGAGCCACTTTATCAGTAGAAGAGGTTGTCCCTTGCTCACTTGAACTTTGTATTCAATGTAGCGAAGTCCACAGATTGGAGGAATATGAGTAGATATATCTCTGTAAGACTTGGAAACCAAATTATACAAAAGATATTATGTTATGTGAACTTTAAATTAGAGCTACCTATTGGGTACATATTCATGAGTGTACTAAATGCATCTTATCCTTGCCCAATTTCCATACAGTTCCAGCAGGATTTTATGTAGTAGTTTATGTGCCGTCAAGTCGACTGTCACTCATTGTGACCCTATGAACAATGGTTCTGAACCCTGCCCTCTCCTGAGCCACCCTCAAAGTTTCTGACATGCCTGACCCCTTTGCCCCAGTTACTGTGTCGGTCTATCTCCTCCAGGATCTTCCTCTCCTCCCGCTGACCCTCTACCCTTCCAAGCATGATATCTTTTTCCAAGAAATGGGCCCTCCTGGAAGCGTGCTCTAAGTATGTGAGACTGAACTTCAGAATCCTTGCCTCCAGGGATCGACCAGGTTTGATACTCTCTAGGACAGAACTGTTTGTTCTCTTGGAAGTCTACATGTTAGGCTTTTAGGAAAATGGAACTACTGAGATACTGAGAATTTTGGACTCTCAATGTGTGGACAAATAATTTACTTTCTTCAAATCTGTCTGAACTGTTCCAACTAAACAGCTGGCGTGAAGCTCCCTATTCATAGATTGCTTCATGAATCAAGTGAGATGGTGGCTTAGTAATAAGGACCAGAGCTGAAAACCCAAAGGCAGGCAATTCAAATTAACCAACTGATCAGTCTCCTCCTATGTGATTTATAACCACTGAAAATCTGCTGGAGAGTCAGCTATGAGTTGGTTCAGGGTGAACAGCATATAGCAACAAAAACAACACCACTAATAGTAATGTTGCTTGTTGATTGTTGATTGCCGTCGAGTGGAGCACTACTCGTAGTGATGCTATGAACAAAAGGCCTGAAGCCCCTCTACAACTATAGACATTTACCAAAGTATCAAAGTTCATAGAGTTTCTGGAGGCATGTTGTTTAGGAAGTAGATGCCACTCCTGCTTCCAATAATAATAATAGTCTTAGTTTTTATGTTTATTAAGAACTCCTATGGTATAGTACATAGGAAGCCATGAGCCATGCTGCTAACCCAAAGGCCATGCCTTTCTGGTGGTTCGAGTCCGCCAGGAGCTCCACAGGGGAAGACAGGCACTCTCCTGCCTTGCGATGTACACCCTAAAAAACCCAATGGAAGGTCAGGTATGAGTCAATTTCAACTCAACAGCAATAAGGTGAACACACTGTTCTAAAACTTGCTTATCTACTTAATCACTTAAGCCTTCCAGAAAGCTCCAGTGGCTTAGTGGGAAGGAGCTGTGCTGTCAACTCAGAGGCATGCAGTTCATGTTAACCAGCTGCTCTGGGTGAGAAAGATGGGCAGTCTCCTCCTGTGTGATTTACCATCTCTGAAAACGTGCTAGAGAGTCAGCTGTGAGTCAGTTCCAACTCCATGGTACACAACTACAGAAACACTGTTATCTCTTTTACAGTCGAGGAAACAGAGACATAGTACGTGGAAAGTATTTCACAACTCCAAAAGCACATTAAGCAAATCTAAGTGATTATTTGCATTCCACCCATAGTATATTTTCCCTCTGCGAATTTGGCATCGATCCATCCATGCTAGTACCATTTCACAGTTCAAATCCGTAGCTTATTCCACTGGCTAGACCACATAATCCTCATTTTTTTGAGGCCCAGGGAGAGCAGGAGCATTTTCCCAAGTCAAAGCAGGTCGCATCGAGTGATGTGGCTGAAGAGCCAAACACTCAGTATATACTATGGGTTGTTGCTTTGTGCCATTGAGTCAGAATGAACCTTCAGCTGACTCTCCTGCATGTTTTCAGAAGCTGTAAATTGCACAGGGAAGTGATTGCCCATCTTTCTCCCACAGAGCAGTGGGTGGATTTGACCCGCCCATTGATGGCACCTAACAGTAAGAAGTGCTTGCTTCCCCTTGTGAATTTAATATAGGTCCAGCATGATGCTGAGTGAGCTCAGTCAGTCAGTCCCACAAGGACAAACACTGTATAAAACTATTACTGTAGAATGAGTATGAGGATCCAAGAGGGGGCGAGGGTGGGAGCAGAGGGGTGAGGATGGGCAGAGGGATGGGGTGTTCATCGTAGGGTTGCACCATTCAAAGAGTCAGGGGGATGACGGGAATGGGAAGGATCTTTTGTGAAAAACAATGTATTCAAACTTTGTAAATAAATTAGTATTAAATTTATGTATATGTATATGTACATGTATACATATATATTATATATATCCAGCAGTGCTAGCACCACTTCCCAATTCAAATCAACAGCTTACTCCATGTATCTCAGCTTTTTATCTTTTGCCCTGTAAGGCATCCCGTGGCCACCATGACGGTCACAGTCGTGTATGACAACTCTGAGGCCACAGAGCTGTGCGCGGCCCAGCACCTCTACCTCAAGCCCATAGCGAAGCTGATGATCAACGTGCTGCTCCCGGAGAGCACAGAGCCCGTGAGGCCCTTCTCAAACTGGGAAGTTCTCGATCAGCTGAAGAGCCTGATTTGCCCTGACCAATTCACCACAGTGCGGCTCTCCAAGAGCACCAAGGACTTCATCCGATTCGAGGGGGAGGCTGAAACCCGGAGCTTGGTGCAGATCCTGAAGGCGAAGTTACACGGGAAGATCATCAAGCTGAACGGTTTGAAAACAGACTTGAGAGTCGTGGCGACAGATGCTCAGGGAGAGTGGGATCATTTCCCCAAAGCAATTGAGACCCCACTGAGCGATGGGGCAGAAGAGCAGGACCTGGAGAAGAGCCCAGATTCCATATATTTTGAAGGCCTGCCCTGCAAGTGGTTTGCGCCAAAAGGTTCTACTGGGGAGAAGCCGTGTGAAGAAATTCTTCGAGTGGTCTTTGAGAGCTTTGGAAAGATCAAGAATGTGGACATCCCCATGCTCGACCCCTACCGAGAAGTCATGACTGGGGGAAGCTTCGGGAGTTTTAGCTTCGGCTTACAGACCTTTGAAGCCTTTATTCAATACCAAGAGTCAACTGATTTTGTGAAAGCCATGGAGTCCCTTCGAGGCATGAAGTTGATGCTTAAAGGAGATGATGGCAAAGCGTTGGCATGTAACATTAAGGTAAGACGTGGCCAGAACTGCTTAGATTTTTTTGTGTTGCTGTTTTTCACTATTCAGGTGGTTTTGAGTACAAGTCAGAGGGAATAATCTAGAACACATTTCCTTGGACCCAACTATGCTCTGCTCAGTAGCTAACAAAGATTTGTCTCATAATTAATAAGTATTTTAGGGAGCTCTGGTGGTTTAGCAGTAAGGAGTTGTGCTGCCAACCCAAAGGTATGTATTTCCAATCCTCCAGCTGCTACCCAGAAGAGAGATGGACAATCTCTTCCTGTGTGATTGACTACCTCTGAAAACCTGCTGGAGGGTCAACTATGAGTCAGTTCCGACTTAACAGTACATAACAACCACAATCACCAGTAATGTTTACGAAGAAAAAAGAAATAAGTCTTGATTTAAACACTTACTTGTCTGCTACTAAGGCATGCTGCCAGTTATGATCTAAAATTACGATGGTTGTAATCTGGCACTCTGCACCCTCTCCCTGGAGGGTCGAAAGGGTTCTTCGTGACCCCTCTGAAACTATGGAATCTGTTGTTTTTATTTGACAGGTTGCTAAGGGTGAGAAATCTGTGCCCCCACCCCCTTATTCTTGGAGTCACACCCACGTGACTCTCTTTAGGGCTACATATTAGGTGACAAACCGAGGCGTTTGTCCTCTTTTCCTCCTCATTTGACTTCGACTCCCGGGAATAATGTGAGTATGAGTGCTTTTTACTTATTGTACTGAGTAAGATCAATAATGTGAATTTATTATGACTAGTAAGATAAAGAATGTACGACTAGCAATAAGTGGAATAACTATGAGGAGAATATGCACCTCATAACGAGTAATTTCTTTACCTTATAGTTCATATCAATAACCATCCGGAGCTCTTGTATCTTCTATGTCTGAGGTGTGAACCGTGGTGATTTTTGGCTTTGAGTTCGTTGTTTGGAACTTTTTTTGCTAAAGCACTGAACGTCAGGGATGTTGGTTTTGGTTTTGGTGGGGTTTTTTTTGTTGTTGTTGTTGGGTTGTTTGGGTTTTTTGTGTGTGTATGTGTTTGGTGTTTTGGGGCTTTTGGGGGTGTTTTGTTGTGGTTTTTTTTTTTTTCTATCTCAGGTACGGGTTGGCAGAGCGGGTAAGACGTTGCTTGAAAGATAGAATCTAAGAACTGAGAAAACCGCACAGCAAGGAAGACTGTAATTTCTTCTAGAATAAAGTCCTTCACAAGGCACTTCCAACTCATATCATATGAGGCAATTCCAACTCGTATCACTCCTCCAGGATATGCTAGCGCTGCTCTATGTGTTTTCCAAGGCTCTCTGTCTTTATGACAATAAACTGCCTATCTCACAAACGAATGCTTCACCAATCACGGTTCCTCCTATTCCTTAGGCTCCAGCTAAGTAGAATCACTTACTAGTTTCCTTTATATCTGATCTTTCCTCTTCCTGGGGGAACCTTGCTGAAATCTCCCTACCACTCCAGTTTTCTCCATTATCTAAGGCCACCATATTCATGAAAAAACTAACTATCCCTTTCATTTCTTCTCTGTATGCTTGAATCACATTGTCCCTACACATTGTCTGCTGTGTCAAAGTTCTGGCGTCTCTCTTCTTCTCTCTCATATTTTTGCAGAGTCAGAACTGACTCATAGATCATCCTCCATTGGGTTTCTGAGGCTCTAAACCACCTGGGAGGAGACTGCGCATCTTTTTTTTCCTGAGGTGCCATTGGTAGACTTGACCCTCCAGAGTGGTGCTGCTTTCTATGTGCATGATGAATTCCCCTTCTGTAATTAATAGCCTCTTGATACAAGAGAGAACGTCTGTTTCCTACAACTCTAGGACTCTGTCTTGAGTAAGTCTTGTACCGACATGGTTGAAGTGAGTAGAATAACCAGCACTGATTATTGTGTTTGGAAAAAAGGGGAGTATTACCAGCAAGATAACCTATGTCCTGTATGTTATTACAGGTCCCATTGCAATCAGGGTCAGGAAAAGAGAGGAAGATCCTTAACTAGATAGACTCACACAGTGACTAATGCCCTGGGTTTGAGCATGACAGAGATTATGAGGATAGAGTGGGATAAAGCAAGGTTCAAATCTGCTGTCTGGAGGGTTGTGATGAGTCATAGTTGACTGGAAGGCACCTAACACCAATGATCTAATCAGGAGCACTGGTGGTCTAGTGGTAAGTAATTGTGCTGCCAACCCAAGAGCAGGCTGTTCAAATCTTCTGGCTGCTCTGTGGGAGAATGATGGACAACCTCCTGTGCAATTGACAGTCTCTGAAAACTCACTGGAGAGTCAGTTGAGGTGGTTCCAATCGGGAGGAAATGAAAAGTAATCTCTTAGATCACTAGTTAGGTCAACCTGTATAATATTTGCCTAAAACTTCTCGAGGGCTGTGAAAGATTCTTCATGGCCTCTGTAGAACTATCACATGGGCTGATTTCATTTGACAAGTAGTTGAGAAAGAGAGATTCGTGCAGTTTGAAACCATCAGGAGAGCAGTTTACTCCCTCCCTCTTGACTCTGAGTCACAATGCATATTTTCAAACATCTGCCAAATACGTTGCTGAAACATAATCTCAGTTAACCTTTATCTTTCACTTTCAAAATCAGCCTATCTGGGCATGAGGTCCCTGGGTGACAGTCACTTTGGCTACTAAGGTTGGTGTTTAGAACCCACTTAAAAATGCCTCAGAAGGAAAGCATGGCAACCTGCTTCCATAACAATTATAGCAAAAACATACAAAACAACTGTGGAGAAGGTCTCCTCATTAATACGTGATGTTGGCATGAGTCAGAATTGCCATGGCGACTGAATTGGTTTTGGTTTTTATCCAGCATGCCACCTTTGGTCATTGCCATCTTGAAGTCATTATCTAATACTGGAAAAAAATGGAGCCAACTTGTTTTTCCTATCCCCCACCCCAAATTAGCTTTGAACATGAACTTGTACTTTTTACTTTGTTTCCTCTACACACATACAGACAGACAGACACACACTCTTCTTGTTTCAGTTACTGTCCTGTCAAGCCTGACTCACGGTGCTTGATCACAGTATATCACAGTGGAACTATGACCTATGGAAATGTTCAATGGCTGCTTTTTTGGGGGATGTAGATCACCAGGTCTTTGTTCTGAGGTGCCCCTAGGTGAACCCTAACCTCTAGCCTTTCTGTTAGGAGTTAAGTGTATTCACTACTAACTTTTTCCTTCATTAAGTCCCACCCAGGGACTTCATATGAGAAACTCCAACCCACAGCCTGTACAACAGAACAAAGCCCTGTCCCATCCTCACAATCTCTGCTGTGTTTAAGCTCACTGTTGCAGCCCGTGTCAGCCCATCTCCCCAAGGGTCTCTCTTTCACTGACCCTCTACTTTTCCAAGCATAATGATTTTTTTTTCTAGGGGCTGACTCCCCCAGGTAACATGCTCAAGGTATGTGAGAACTTGTCTCATCCTGTTCACCTCCAGCGAGCACTCGGCTGCACTTCTCCCACGGCAGACGTGGTCTGGCAATCCAGGGTGCATCTAATATTCTTGCCAATACCACAACTTAAAGGCATCAATCCTTCTGTGCTCTTGCACTCAAACATTATAAAAACCAGTCATAATTTGTTTCTGTTAATTCATGTCTTTTATTAACTCATAATTACGTGTCCTCTGGATTGTTGAAGCAATAGGTCAGACAACACTTGCCACAGTAATGTCTGTCCAAGTGGCTGGCCATAAAAACTCCAGCACCGCATTCCTCTGAAGGACACTGCTGACGAAAGTTGCTAATTTTGCCATTTTCATCCACCTTGTAGGCTTTCCAAACAGCCAGCTTGACCTTCTTTCTCATATGCTTATTCTTCTTGGGATTTCATCTTCCTTTTCTTAGCCCCACCACCAAGTGTCAATACATGGTGAAGAGTGGACTCCTTTTGGATGTTGTAGTCAAACTAGGTCCACCCAATCTTCCAGTTGCTTTCCAGCAAAGATCAGTCTTTGCTACTCTGGAGGAATGCCTCCCTTATCTTAACCTTTACATTTTGGATTGTATCTGAGGGTTCAACCTTGAGTGAAGATGAGGGTCTTCCCTGTGAGGGTTTTTTTAAAAATCTGCAGCTTGGCAGTGGTGGTTCCATCGTGGATGGTGGATCAGAAAGGAAGAGTCTACGTTGTGATTTGTGTTCTGTGTGTGTTTATTTTTTCTTTTTTTAGCTGTTCAGACACAAATTTATTTCAAACAGATAAGTGGCAAACATTATTAATTACAAGTTAGAATTAGACTATCCCAGTGCTTTAAAATATTAATATAGCAGTAATTTACAGTTGCTCAATTATGATTAGCAAAGCCCAGCTTTAAAAAACAAAACATTATGGGTTAGATGAGAGCCTACTTCACCAAGTACCCTTCCCTCAGCTACACTCCCCTCAAAGATAACAATGGTGGGGCTACTGTGTATCTTTTTTGTCTTTTCCATGTTTACTTAGTAATGTCTGCAGCTGCTGCTGCTTTTTACAAAACTGTTTACCTGTAGTGTTCAATCTGACCTTCTTCTTTTTTTTTTTCTTTCAAGACTCGGATATTGTTTTATAATCATGCCAGTCAGGGTAGATTATTCTTCTAGAATCTTCCTTTCATGTCGTTGATCTTTATAACAAACCCGGGGTCATTTACAAAGGTCTCTCATGTGAAGCAAGCTCCTACAGCTTTCCGCCAGAGAACATTCTGGAGGCTGGCGAGCTGTGACACAGTGTGTGGGTACTGGGGTGGAGAGGATATTTTGAACTCACTTGATTCCCAATTGACACGGCCCATCTTTATTTTATCTTTCTGGCCTAGGAACACACCTGGCCAGCTGGCAGACCTTTCTAGTGAAACTTTGAATTGTTTTGGAGCAGGTTATGTTTGATACCACCAAACACTTCAGTGAAGGAGCTATAAGGAGGAGAAATCAGGAAAGGCTAAAATTACAAGAGCTGGAAGAAGAAAGGAAAAAAGAAAAGAGGAGAGAAGAGCAGCAAGCTGAAAGGTAAAAAGACCAACATTGATGAAGAGGTGGGGCGGGGCTTTGAGCTTCTCTGGTTTTTATTTCTGGATTTATCTCTTCGGATAAGAGCTTGCCTTCATTTGTTGCTGTCCAGTCAACACTGACTCATAGCTTATCCTTCGGCAGCTTTTCAGAGGCTGTAAATTGCATGAGAGGACATTGGCCATCTTTCTCCTGAGAAGCAGCTGATGGATTTGAATCACCTGCATTTGGGTTGGCAGTCCAACTTCTTACCCACTAGGCCACCAGAGCTCTCTAAACATACCATTGTATGTAACGTTGAGTTGTGAGGGCAAGATTTGGTCTGGATTGGAAAAACGCCATTGAAGACTACAGTCTTTTTACTGTGCTGTCATAAAACCAAAATGACAACACAGTTGAAAACAGATTTTTTTTTCTTTTTTTAAAAAAGTTTGTTGCTTAGAGGAAAAAGTAACGAGGAATAATGGGGCTAGACAAATATTTCTAGAAAGAAATGAGAAAAAGACCAAGAATTTTTATAGTGGAGATCTTAGCCTATTGCTGTTGTTATGTGGCATCGAGTCGCTTGTGACTCATAGCGACCCTATGTACAACAGCCGTAAACTCTGCTCTATCCTGTGCCAATCGCACCGTCTCCAACATACCCATCCCGATTACCCCAGTCACTGAATCAGTCCACCTCCTAGAGGGCCTTCCCCTCCTGCGCTGTCCCTCCACCCTACCAAGCATGATGTCCCTCTCCAAGGACCTGTTCCTCCTTACAACATGTCCAAAGTATGTCAGACAGAGCCTCAGAATCCTTGCCTCCAAGGAGCTGTCTGGTTTAACCCTTTCCAGGATGAATCTGTTTGTTTTCCTAGCAGTCCAAGGTACCCTCAGTACTCTTCTCCAGCACCATAGCTCAAACACATCAATTCTCCTTTTATCCTCCTTAGTCACTGTCCAACTCTCTGATGCATAACAAGTGATAGCAAAGACCATGGCCTTTGTCCCAGGTGCACCTTAGTCTCCAGAGAGACACCATTGCTCTTCAGTACTTTGGAGAGGTCCCTAACTGCAGACTTTCCCATGGCAATGCGCCTTTTAATTTCCTGGCTACTGGTGCCAAGAGTGTTGACTGTGGAGCCGAGCAAACTAAAGCTGTGAACAATCTCAATCTCTTCGTCGTCCATCCTGATGCTGCCAATTGGTCTAGTGGTGAGACTCTTTGTCTTCTTGATATTGAGCCTCAGTCCATACTGAAGGCTGCAGTCCTTGACCCTTCGCAGCAAGTGCATGAGGTCCTCCTCAGTTTCAGCAAGCAGGGTTGTGTCATCTGCATAACGCAGATTGTTAACAGATCTTCCACCAATCCTGATGCCACACTTCTCCTCATAGAGCCCAGCCTCCCGGATCTTAGCCTACTTCTCTTTTCATTTAATTATTTATTTTTTAAAAAATAAATTAGGTATGGAAATTCCTTCCTTATAAAGTACAGGCAGCAATCAAATTAACCCATGGGGAGAAGGCATGGGTTTGTTGCACCATTGTCTTGCATTTATTTACTTACTTCATTCCCCTGAAGGCTTTACCAATCATATTTGTTTTCCATACAATCATCCATAGCCATTTTGTTTTAAAACACCAATCACCATTCATGAATGTAATTAATTGCCAATGTCTAAAACCCTTTCAGCACCATTTCCCCCCCACTTATGTTCTTTCTTTGACTTTAAGAAACTGCCATCTTTGTTTCTGGGCTTGTCATCAGTTCCCAATTTAGGAGTTTGAGCCTAGAATAAGGCTACCGAGTTGTCAAAGATTTGTTAGGAAGATACTGATTAGCCAGAACTCCATGGTCCTCAAACCCACTTTTGCCCTTTGCATTCCCTTCCCTGTAGTTTCCTGTGTAAATTGTAGCTGTCCTGAGAAGGAGATAGAGTACCTTACCGTCTAGGCTTCTCACTTTTTTTTTTCTTCTGGTGAATGACAGGAATTACTTGAGATTCCTGTTTGAGAAACCTAGTGCTTGGGCCTAGATAAGAGAACTGTTTTCATGCTCCTCAAATTCTAAAACTGAGCATGCAAGTCAGGCAAACCCCTGGCTTTTGGCAGAAGTCCCAAATCAGGATTCTTTCCCTCTCCCCATGCCCCTATAAGGGCCAAACCACAAGAGTTTTCCAGAAAGTAGCCCACATTGTCTTAGGCCAGTATGTTTTAATGAAGTAATTCACATCTAAGACCAGAAAAGCCTTCAGATTGTCTGAGTGCTTTGACTCCTCTTTTTTTGTGTATGCTCTGTTGTTGTTGTAGACCATTGAGTCGGAACCGACCCGTAGCAGACCCTCCTGCAGGTTTTCAGAGGCAGTTAATCACACGAGAGATTTTACATCATTACCCAGTGGAGCAGCTGCTGGCTCTGAACTGCCTGCCTTCGAGACTGCAGTGCAGCTTCTTACCACTAGGCCACCAGAGCTCCCTTGTGTATGCTATGCCAACCCACAAAAGATCTCAAGGGAGAAGGAAAAAGAAACTGTCACTTTAAAAGCTGGAGTCCAGTGGTTCCCTCTTGTATTTTGAGAAGGGAAGGGCCAGAGTAGGCCCTTCCTTTGAACTCTGTAGTTGCTGCCTTTTGGTGCTTCGTCTCTGCGGGGTGACCCAGGTGACTACCACCCTTCTGTCCTTGGAGATATGCATGTTGCTATGATGTTCAGGAGGTTTCAATGAGGTTTTGGACTAAGATGGCCTTGCATGGAAGTCCTAGCGATCTTTTTTGAAAGCCAGACCTTACAGATCACAAGGTCTGCACTACCACCGGTTGTGAGGCTGGCTGGGGGACGGGCGATGCTTCATTCTGTTGCCCATGGGGTCCCCATGGCTGACTTGATGGCAATTAATAATCAACATCTTTGCAGAAGGTCGCCTTTACACGCTTCCATTTGCCCCCCTCAGACTATGTATGTGCCTTCCTCCCCCACCTTGACCGATGTGAAAGGCTTGCTTATCAATTTCTGTGCTCTTCCCCCCACCTTTTTTTTTTAAAAAAAGTTATCAATTGTCTGTGTCAGGCCCTGGAGTTAGTGGTGGGTTCCTAGGGACAGAAACCAGCTCTGCTCCCTGATGGCGGAGTGGGATAGGGGCGGCTTCGGGGGAGGAGGGAGGTGAAATGTCTAATAAATACCAGCTGAATGCTGTCATTGTAATCATTCTCCAGAAGAAGAAGAGATGAGGAGAGGAAAACTCAGGAAAAGAGGAGGAAGGCCAGGTTCAGGAGGCAGGTCTTGAAGGAAAGAGACAGACATCGGAGGAAGAAGCGGAGGGACAAATCCAGAGCCAAGGTGTCTCAGGACCCCGACTCTTCCGAGGAGTGGGAGGAGAGGAAGTACCTGCTGGCTCAGAGGCGAGTGGAGGCCCTGCGATTGCTCCGCATACTCCTGAGGAATATTGCAGTAAGCCTATTTCTCAATTGTTCTCGAGTTTTGCTAGGCACTAACCTTTTTGAGGAATCCCTGGGTGGTGCTGAGCTATTAACCTAAAGGTTAGAGGTTCAAACTTACCTGAGGGGACCTTGAAAGAAAGAGCTAGTTAGTAATCTACTATTGGGGGGGGGGAACCAAACCCACAAAACAACAAAATAAAAATCAGCCATCTAAACCCCTATGATGCACAGTTTTAACTCTACACATATGGGGTTGTCATGAGTGAGAGTGGACCTGCAGAACCCCGTTTAACCATTCTGAGACACTACCTTTATATTTAGTTGTTGTGGTGGTGTACCATCAAGTCAGAACTGACCCATATGTGACCTTCCAGAAGGTTTTCAGAGGCAGTAAATCGCACCAGAGGCAATTGCTCATTTTTCTGTTGTGAAGCAGCTGGTGAACTTAAACCATCCACCTTTGGGTTGGCAGCACAATTCCTTACCACTAACCTTAGCACTAAACCACCAGAACTCCTTTATTGTTAATTAGTGGCCTACTTAAAACCAGGGCGATAAAAGGCCCTTTATAGCTGCAAGAGTATTTTAAAATAGACCTCCAGTGGCCTAGTGGGTAGGGAATTGCCCTGCCAATGCAAAGATATGTGGTTCAAATCCACCAGCTGCTCTGCAGAAGGATGGGCACTCTCTTCCCATGCAATTTACAGCCTCTGAAAACCTGCTGGAGGGTCAGCTATGAGTTGGTTCCACCTTGACGTCAGTGAGTTCCATTTTGAGTTGAATCTCTAATAGCCCCAAATATGAATTGATAAAACCCACTGCTGTCCAGTCTACGTCAAGTTTTTAAGGCTGTAAATCTTAACAGGGGGAAATGGTCCAATTTTCCCCCCTGAGAGTGGCTGGTAGGTTTGAACTGCTGACCTTTTGGTTAGTGGGCTGATGCATTACTCACTGTGCTACCAGCATTCCTGGGAATAATTTAAAATACACCTATCCCTAAAATTTCACTGCTGTCAAGTTGATTCTACCTCCTAGTGACCCTCCGTTGAGTTTCTGGGTCACCCGTAAATACAGACTGCTCTCCTTTTTCCCTTGGAGCCACTGCTGGATTTGAACCACCAGAGATGCTTGACCTTTTGGGTTAGCAGCACAGCATGCAATTCACCCAACACCTGCACTTTGGGTTTCTAAACTGCTGGAAGCTGTGACCCAGAGTTATTTAGCTACTGTGTCTACCTAGTTTCACATCAAGGTAACAAGGAGCCCTGGTCGTATAGTGTGTTGGGCATCAGCAGTTCAAACCTACCAGCCACACCTTCAGACTGTTGGATAGAGTTCAGAAAAATTTTACAGATGTCTCCACCCTCTCCATCCTCACCATCTTCACTTTGTTTTGGGAACTCATCGAGTCTTGTATATAACCTCTTTTGTGAGGAGTGTGTTATGTATTGCTAGACCAAAAAGGTAGCAAAGTCCCAAAAGAAAGACTTTGGAAGCAGGAAGGAGCAGTCAGTGGAAAAGGGAAATCCAGAGTCAAGATAGGAAGAGAGTTGACACATTAGGAGAATTGCAACTGCTCTCTCAAAACAAAATATGTATAAACTGTTAAATGGGAAGTCATTTTGCTTTATAAACTTTTACCTAGATAGCAATAAAACATTTGAACAACAAAAGCAATAACAACAATAACCAAAAAAACCCTACCAGCCAGCCACTCCACAGGAGAGCGATGAAGACGTCTCCTCCCCCGAAAACTTACAGCCTTGGAAAACTAATGGTCTCTATGCATTGGCATGAACGCGACAACAGTGGGCTTTTGTTTGGGGCTTTAATCAGTGCAAAAGAAATCACTAGGAGAGAAGAAATGGTCAATGTGAGAGTTCTAATCGTAGTGCTGTGACCTTACTTGGACATTTATCTGTAGCAGATTTGGATAAGAAGGGAGAGCCTTGAGCTACATTTGTGTAGCATTTCATGTGAGTCTAGCCACAAACTGCTTGATAAAGAAATTCTCACATCACAGAGCAATTGTTTGGTTTGGAGAGTTTCGTTTTTGAAAGACATTTCCCCCACTGAGCTCCTTAAGAGCTGTGCAGATGGTCTGGATTAAAAATCGGAAGGGCTCTTAAACGGTTCATTAAAAAAAAAATCCACACCCACCATCTTCAAATATGAAGAGTCATGTTAACATTAAATCGAGTTAGTGGATATTAACTGTGGGTTCACAGCCACTGAGTTAATCCCTACCCTTAACAACCCTCTAGGGCAGAGTGGAGTTGCCCCACAGTTTCCAAGCCTGTAAGCAGGCTTCCACACCTTTCTTCCACAGAGCGTAGCTTAACCCATTGCACTTCAAGGGCTCCTTAGTATTATATATATACTAGTTATTCGCATTATACCTAGTTAACTATTAGTTACAGAGGGTTTAAAGATAGTCATACAAATGTGCAATCTGGGCTCTTAGTGTGAAGAAGCATTCCGCACAAATCCCTCACTAGTGTGGACAAACTTAATGACAGCAGGATCAGAAAAATCTTAATTACGTCTTCAACAAGGCTAGCTGGAGCTTTGACCTCAATGACTGCCAGGCCTGACTCCCTTTCAAGAATGTACCTCCATAATACATGCACTGCTTAATTCTTGACACCAAAAAGAGACCTTATGCCTATTACACAGTCTGCAGGTTCTAATCCCTGTCATTGGTAAGTCCTGTGCCCTGACCTGTGTAAGATGTCAGTGAGCGCACAGTGCAAACGGGGATGGATTAGCCAGCAAGCATGGGCCCCACTGGCTTACAGTAAGCAAGTTCCACACACAGGCTCACTTGTCCTTACTTACTCATCTATCTTGACCAATTTCATCTAGGATGCAATCTCACCTGGACTTTACCACGAAAACAGTGGTGAAGCCCAGGTGAAATGATTCACAGCCAATCAGCGTGTAAGCACAATCAAGGCAGTGTGTATCTCACTTGATGGCTAAACCGTTCCTGGGTGCAGATCCTCTCAGACAATGAGCAGCAAGCACCCAGCAGGTGTGCAGAACACCCCAGGGGGAACCACTCTCCAGGCCGTCTTCTCCTCACTATCCTGCTGCTTGCGGAGATGAGTAGGGGTGAGGAAGAGGTGGCGCGCAGAAACTCTTCCTGGGTAAGCCATAGGGAGAGGCTGCGGTCAGAACCAGGACAGCCAAGTCTTTTAAGCCAGTTGAGTCATATGCCACCTGGTGTACGACACACCTCACGCAGCAATCTTGTCTTGTATGAGAATTTTCTGGGAAGGCTACCGGTTGTTTCTTATTCCTGTTCCTCACCTTCTCCAGCACAATACCCGGAACACTGAGCTCCCCAGATTTTTTTAACAAATGAAATAAAGGGTCATGGACTTTGAAGATGCCTTCTAGCATGAGGTTGAACACTCAAACACCCAAAGTCATTGCTATTGAGTCAGAACCAATTCATAGCTCACCCTCAAGTGGGTGGTTATAAATTGCCCATCTTTCTCCCTTGGAGCCTCTGGTGGATTCAAACTGCCAGAGAGGCTGTCTTTGGCTTAACAACACAACTTGCTACTGCCTATGCCACACAGGCATAGTAAAAGCAGCACATGTTAGACCAAGTCATCTAGTGTTGTTGTTGTTGTTGTTGTTCGGTGTCATCAAGTCGACTATAACTCATAGCAACCCGGTGAACAACAGATCTGAATGTTGCCCTATCCTGTCAAATATCGCATGATCTCTGAAACGCTCAAACCCATTGTGACAGTTAATGTATGATATCTCTCATACCACACTCATTTTCTGCCTCCCATTACATCAAAGACAACTTAGATCTATCCCAAATATTATTATATGTCTCTTCAGAACAAAGCCAGAGAGGCCAATCATCTTTGAAAATGTCTAATGTGTTTAGCTTTAGATGTGAGTTGTTTGTTTTTGTTTTACCTTTCTCTTAAAGGGATCCACACGATTTAACCCACAGGTGGTAGACCCTGAACCTGACGAGGATCCCGCTCTGGAGGAAACACTGGAAACTTTGGTGAGAGAAGAGGTAAACACCCAGTATCTTCAAACTCCAGAGAAAATGCCAAAATATCCGATTGCCAAGCTGGACAATAAACGAAAACAAAAAATGAAGAGAAGAACTAGGACTCATTCACGGAAATCTTCCCGCCACTTGCGCAAGAAAAAATTAAGGTGTTCTACAAGAAAAGAGAGACCAGCGCAACTGTTGACTGGTAGATACAATCACAGTTTCATCTCTGACCAGAATTTATCACAAATTCCAACGATCCATGCTCAGTCTTGGGAGAGAGAAGATGGCAATAGGCCTAATAGATTCTATGCTTCCAGAGAACCTGAGGGAGACTGTAGCAGAAGACAGAAGATCTATGAGACAGATAAATTCATTGACTATCTATTAAACTATTACCGAACTCCTCCATATGCCCGCATGCTCCTCAAACCAGGTTACATTGCAAGCCCTTCCCAGTGGCAAAGGGCTGTCTATGCCCAGGGAGATGGAGTTAAGATCCACTTGAGAAGATGTGGACATCATGTAACCAGCTGGAGCCCCATTCCAGAGCTGGAAAGGAGGGAACGTGCTCAAGAAGATGATTGTTGGCCAAAGCCCTATACTCAAGATCCTGACACTTTTAATCCCCATGGAACAGAAAATGTAGACTATGCCAAAGATTATTCCAAGGGCATTCAAAATTATCTCAAGGATATGGCCAGTGAGGCTGGTGATCCGTTTTCCTTGGTGGATGGAGAGAGCCATCTTAGGGACGAGATCCATGGCCAACAGGTCAAAGACCTTAAGTCCAGAAAGAGAAAACGAGTTTCTTCACCCTACAGGTCAGCAGGCTTAGCTTTAGAACTGAAAGATGTCTTAGAGGAAATCAGTAGTGATTCTGAATGCTTCCAGGAAGCCCACAGCAGCATAAATAAAGAGGACCAAGAGGATTCAGAGAGTGTATATCATAGCTCCCCAGAAAAAGAACCCTTTGACCCAGATGATCTCATTTTCTGGGATGCAGAAAGTAGATGCGGTCAGCAGACCTTGTATTCAAACTGTAAACAGAGCAGTGTGAAAAAACACCCTCAGTACAAGTTTAGGAAACCAGACAAGAGGACTAAGCGTAAACTGAGTTACTCGTGGCTTGAGAGTAAAGACAATTCCATTAGAGATGATAGAAGCAACAGCAGGAAGAGGGGGGAGCCTGCCCACAAATACTCCTTTGATGACGGTTACTATCATAACCCCAGTTCCATGGAACCATTCAAGACTGTTACAAGAAAGAAGCAGAGGTTTAATGGTCGAGCATTTAACCAGAAAATGAACTATAGATCATCTCATGTGCCAATGATGTCATCACAAAGCGCTCACACTTCGTATCCGAGAGAGTTTTCCACACGAAGAGAAGCTCCCTGGAACTCAAACTATAGCCAGGATAAAAGAAGGTTTAAAAGACGTGAGGATTCTGAAGATTTCATGCTGAATTCTGACAATTATTATCATAGACATAATAATCAGGAAGACACTGGCTACTTGGAAAGGTACAGGGGCAACAGCTACTCTAGTCCTTTGTATTTTCAGATGTTTTGATGGTCTCTCCAGTCATGAACATTCTACACCGTAAACTCTTTGCAAGAAGACAATTTAAAACTGCAGAAAGAACAGCTTTGAAAAGTGTGAGCAAGGTTAAATGTAATGCCTTGCCACCAGATGTCTGTAGGTGTGTTGGCAAGCTTTGGAAATATGAAACATCCGGACTCTGAAACTTGGTAAAAGACTGGGCTTGCAAAACTTCTTGGTCCAAGGACAGACATTTCTTCAGTTCAATGGCAACTTTATTTTGGTGCCAGTTCAGGAGCAAATTAACACTGCAAAGTGTTAGTAGTTAAAATTTTATTATTTTGTATCAAGGACAGACAAATCCGAGTTTTTTCCTGTGACCTTTGAGTTAGCCAGGGATAGATACCAGGTGGGACAACAAGCTTTCGAAACTGACTTTTGAGCTACAAATACTTCTAGATGAGAGAGATGACAGTGAGAACTACTTTTGCAATATTAGAATGTTTCATGAGCAGTCGTCAGAAGAGAAATGTCTGAATATGTTCATGGTACTCAAAATGTCACCCTGGTCACAAAGTCTTGGGAGAAAGATCTAACAAGAGACTCAAATTGATTTTGGAGCTTTAAGCATATGGCTGGACATTCATTTTAACAGAAGCTGTTTTTGGAAGAATCCATGTCTGTCCATCCTAGCAAAGCAACAGGATTTAAGTGAAGTGATTCCACAATTAGAATTTGCAAAAGGGAAATATTTAAAGATTCTGGGTCACCAAGTGGCACGGCACTTGGGAAGAGAGGACATGACAGTATTCATTTCACTCAGGGTTAGGTGACATCAGTTAGTAAGAAAGTCACTGAATGGCCCCAAGCTGATTTTTGTAAAACTGTGACACTCCCTCTCATTGCCTCCAAGTCGGAATCGACTCCTAGCAAACTCTCCTGTGGATTTTCAGAGGTGGTAAATCACACAGGAGGAAATTGCCTATCTTACTCCCCCAGAACTACTGGTGGTTTACAGTCGCCTGCCTTTGAATTGGCAGGCAACTCCTTACCCACAAGGCCATCAGAGCTCTTTACAAAAACAGTAACAAGTGCCTGCTCAATCCTCACTAATTCTATGGAATTAGAAAGAGTCAAAGGCAAAGCTTATAGTTAGTTTTCTAGCTGGAGGGAAAAAAAATATATATGTGTGTAAGATTTGTAAACTCTTAACATAAGCAGCTTACCTTTCTACCTACTGGTTTTGGAGACTTCTTAAATAAGTTTTTAAAATGGAGATTTTTTATAGATTCTTAAAGACTTACATCTTAGTACAGTACATGTTCTATAGGAAGCTTGGCTGATTCATTCTGCCTTACACAGGATTTAGAACCTCAGGGGCAGTATATGACCATCATTTTCCCAACAAAGCTATCTATCACCTGACTTGACAATGGAAGACACACCAATGAGATCAGAGACTCTCTGTGGCAGGGGGGAAAAAAGAAAGAAAAGAAAAGGTGATTTTAATCCATCCACAGAAGGGGAGGAAACTACCATCTTTATATGACATGGTTCATTTCAAAGAGTCTTAACCTCATCTTCTCTAGAAAAGTACCAGCTGGCAGAGCCAGGGAGGACTACCACTCATTTGCACGAGCACTGCTCACAGCCTTCTTCGCAACCTGTATGTGAAAGGGCTACATCTCTTCCTTTATGAAATCACAGGTGAACTGCACGGAAGGTCCCCAAGTGGACGAATTCTGAAATGAATGTAACTTAGGAGCTTGTGTTTTGCCTACGAAGAAGATAATGACCAGTGAATGATTTTGGTGGTTCTCCCATGTTCAATTCTACCTTCAAGCCAGCGACTCTGCCAATGAAGCCAGCTTTGGCTTGTCCAATCTTCAAAATTGCTCACAGGATGAGTGCCTTTTCTCAAGACTAGCAATGACCATTAATGTTCAATGTACTGTTTTCCAGAGGAGCCTTTTAAACTAACAGCTTATATTTGGTCACACAACTTTTAGTAGCTAGGTATTGTGTTCCCTTAATGATAACCTGCTTCTTCATGATATTTTATGCCACTGAGACAGAACATTATGGCTTTGTCATGGAAAAACATCGACGCTGGCTTTGACAAATGAAATGTTTCTTCTGTAATTTATTAATTTTTTTTCTTTGAAGATTTTGTAGGCATGTAAACAATTTGCTGCTCAGTAGCCAGACCTTTAAAAAAAGTCACAGGACATAGCATGTGCAATTATTTTGGTTTTTTTTTTTGTTGTTGTTGTTGTTGTTGTGTGTGTGTAATAGAACTGGTGCTAAGTTACTTTCCACATCACTTTTGTTGTTGTTTTGTTTGAGAAATACTGTCCTGGGACCTGGAGTGGGAGGAGGAAATACTGGCTTTATGTTAACTTTCATTACAACCTTGGGTTTTTATGTCTGCTGTGTGAGAATGCATTCTAGATTTGAGTAAACCTCTCTTTTTTGTGTAGACCTTAAGTGAAGAAGAGTACAAACAATGCTTTTGGACCTACTGGCTCAAGAAAGACTAGGGTAGCTCTGAAAATATTGTAAACTGCTTTCTATTAATGAACGTCTTTATTCTTTGTTGTGCTGTGACTTCAGTGATGCAAAAGTAATTTCACATTTTTCTCTCAGTCCTATGACTTAAGGGCCTGAACTTTACACTTTGGAAATCTGTGGAAATGCATTCATGTTTTCCTTTGTATGCGCTGCTGATAGTGTTTTGAGAAAGCTAAAAGCCTGTCAATGTACCTTTTTGTTGTTGTTAAATTTTCTCAGGTAGTAAGCCACATAACCTGGTCATTTTGAAGATAAGAACCAAATAAATGTGTTTTCCTTTTTTAAAAATGGTTTAAAAAATGTTACTTTTAAAGAAATAAATTCCAATAATTTTACTTTGGGGGGAAAATTTCTACCTGTAGAATGCTGCTTTGCACTAATGTTGCTGACCCTTCTCATTTGCATTTATTGGTAGAGAAATGATACATATTTAATTTTCAGAAATATTGAAGAAATAAAGTTGTTATAGTGATTCTTGAGTCTTTGCTCACTTACTAATAAATGTCTTTGCCTATATACTGCACATGCACACATCTACAACCTTTTTAGAGAAAACACAGATGTCTGGTTTTAATATTGTTTCTATGCCATTCCGCTCCCCGCCCCCTTTATTGCCAGTTCAAAATAACTATCAGAGCACATGGAATTGAGTGACAATATTTTTCATTCTGGATGCACTAAACCCTGATATTTAATATTCTCCCTTTGTGATTATGTGTTGAGTCAGAACCAACTCATAGTTGACCTTCCAGTGGGTTTTCAGAGGCATGAAAAGATTGTCGATCTTTCACCCTCAGAATAGCTGGTGGATTAGTGGATTTGAACTATGTGCTTTGGGGTTGGTAGTGCAACCCCTTACCTACTAGATCACCAGAACTCCCCTTTGGCCAGACAAGAGTTAACATGAATTGGGATAGCAATCCGACTCTAAACGTCGTTATCACAAAGGCAGTTTGTACTTTAAGACTGAAATCTGGCCACTTTAGAACTGAAAGGGTTCTTGTTGGGTTCAAAGAACTCTTTCTATAGCAGCAAGGAATGTATGGATGTTTGTTCTGGGTTGATGATTTGCATAAGCTCAGCCCTCTGGGAAAAGATGAAGATTTAGTTATGCACAGAAGCCACAAATATAGAGACGTATTGAGACACACGTAACACGATGCTGCTTACAAATGACACAAGTGCTGAGAACAACGTATCTCTGAAGCTGGTTGAATGAAAACAGGTGAGGAACCTGGACACACATCCCTCCCTCAGTTTTTCCACCACTCAAATGGGACCTTTTACATGATATGGTTTAGGAATATGGTAGCTAGTTTTGAGATCAAAGTCCTGGTTTCTAGTAATATCCCTTTACATGGAATCAATCCAATGTTGATTCTGTTCTAACTGGAGTGGTACCAGGCTGTTGGTAATGAAGCTGTAACAAGGCTCTGAATGTTTGCTCTTGGCAGCAGACATGCCTGTTTAACTCTGTAAAAGTAGCCCAATCATGTCTAAATGAGCTTTCAGGCAGCAACCGTGGCCCAACTTTACTTCCCCCACCCCTTCCCCAAAGCAGAAGGCCTAACAGGTTGCCTGGCACAAAATAGGCACTTGAATATTTGTTGATTGAAACCTAGTGGAGAAGAACGACACATATCAAAAATATATGCAGTATGGCCTGATGGCATGAAAAATGGGAAACTCTGCTTGCTTTGGTTCAGAGAGAACATCTCCTGTAAGAAAACACTGCCAACCACAACAGCAAAAGGACAAACACATTCAGAGCAATAGGCTGCCTGGGCTTATACAATGGGCTATATAGATAGGCAAATGTGTTATCTGCCTTCGGCTAGGAGGCAAATTAACTTTGCAAAGATATGGACTCCTAAATAATTTCCTGATCAGGTAAAACCTTAAAACAGTTCAGCAGTTGGTAACAATGTCTTCAGGACAAATGTTGTGTGCCTTCAACTCGGAACCGACCCATAGTTTGGTTTTTGTTTAAAAAACGAAAAACCCTTACATGAAGCGGTTGTTGTGCACTGTCGAGTCGGAACCGATGCATAGCTGACCCTCCCTCGGGTTTTCAGAGGTAGTTAATCACACAGGAGGAGGTTGCCCAGCCTTCTCCAGCGGAGCAGCTGGTGGATGCGAACCACATGCCTTTGGGATTGCAGTGCCAATTCTTGCCACTAGGCCACCAGAGCTCCAGTGCCACCTCCCCTCACCCCCAATCTTCCATTCACAGTTTAGAAAGTTTTCCTTTACATGGAAGCTGAATTTGTCAAATCAATCAGTAGCTCACCTCCCATACTTTGAGGTTATCAGGAGGGGCCAATGCCTGGGTATCATGCTTAGTAGAGGGTCGGCAAAATAGAGCATCTCGATGAGATGGACCGGCACAGAGACAGCAACAATGGTCCCAAACAAAGCAGAGATTGCGTGTATGGCATGCGATGCACAGGCCTTTGATCGGTTGTATAGATTCACTATGAGTCAGGCCAACTCACCAGCGCCTGACACCATGGTCCTTTTGGTGTAATTTCTGAATTCTTGTCCCTTTTCTTGTCTCTCTTAGGATAAAGTGAATCTATTATTTAAAAGTTAAATGCTCCAGCTCTGTATTCTCTTTGTCACATGGCAAACAAACATATGAAGAATATCCCTAGCTTAAGAGAGATGCAAATCAAAGCAACTATGAGATATCATCTCACTCCAATAAGAATAGAAAAATTTAACAGAACAGCAACCAACAAATGCTGGCGAGGTTGTGAAGAAACTGGAACCCTTATTCACTGTTGGTGGGAGTGTAAAATGGTGCAACCACTATGGAAGGCTGTATGGCACTTTCTCAAAAAGCTGGAAATAGAAATACCATTTGACCCAGCAATTCCACTACTGGAAATATACCCCGAAGAGACCATAACCACCACCCAAGTAGATATATGCACACACATGTTTATTGTGGCTTTGTTCACAATAGCAAAGAGTTGGAAACAACCTAAGTGCCCACCAACAAATGAATGGATAGAGAAGCTGTGGTATATTCACACAATGAAATACTACGCTGCATTGAAAAACAAAGAACTCATGGAATATTATACAAAATAGGTGATCCTGGAGAACATTATGCCGAGTGAAATATCTCAGGCACAAAAGGACAAATACTGCATAGTGCCACTGTTGTAAAATTGGACTAACAGGGTCAGGGGAGACTGTGAAAGATGGAATAAATTATGTATACTGCATTGAAAGAGATGAGGGAGAGAACTGTTTAAAAGGGATATGTGGTTCGGTGTTATTGTCATGAGTCCAGAATGAAGGCTCTGTAGTGGAGTGGACTTGGGGGGGAGGGGAGGATTGTATAACAATGAAAAAGTTTTTCTTTAACTTTTCAAAGAGAAGAGCGAACTGGGGCAGGGAGGGGTGGGCAGGGAGAAAAGTACAACACTAAATGAATGGAAATCAAAAGTCTCTAAACTTTCATTAATAATAATAAAAACATTTTAAAAAGTTAAATGCTATCAAATAAATGCAAAACGATGTGGCCTAGTTGTAAGAAGCTGTGCAATCCCCAAAGCACACAGTTCAAATCCACCAGCAGCTCCATGAAAGATGGAGAAAGATGAGCAATCTCCTCCTGTGTGACTAAACTGCTTCTGAAAACCTGTGGGCGCTATGGGTTGGTTCTGACGAATCGGTGAACAACAACAGCTTTACACAAGGTTTTTTGTTTTGAAAACCCAAATCCACCCAAAACCAAAGCCAGACCATTTTCTATTGGGTAAAACCATTTTTATTAACTGACCAAAGCACTTCATTTTGTTTTCTGATTTGAGGTAAAACTGTTAAACACAGCTCACAAGAAAATACAAGGACTATTTAACTACAAGAGTTTTTGAAACGTCACTAGTTATTCATATAATTTTTTTTGCAAATTCATACAACTGTACAGTCTACTTAAGCTAAGTTTAGTGTTAACCAAAAAAAATCATTATCAAAGACTTAAGACACTTGACTACTACTTTCGCAGTGGCTACAGTTTTGTAACAACAGAAGGATGACTGTTACCTCATTACATTCCTTAAAAAAAAAACCACTTGACTAGTGACAGGTTCTGTTTCCTCATTCTTTCTTTGGGAGTGTGATGAAGGCTCTTAGGAGAGCACATGTCCCGTTTACATCAAACTGGGTAAGATACCATCACCTCATCATGGACATGGGCATTGGGAAGGTACTGCTAAAATCTTTAATAAATTTAAGTTTGGAGGCAAACAGTGGATTTTTTCCCCATTTTAAGCTTTTCCTTTGTATGCTTAGACCTTATTTGAATACAAAGCAGTCCAGGAACACAGTAACTACGTATTCTCTTTTTTTTTGCCAAGTGAGCCTAGCTTTAAGATCCTGTTACTGGATAGGATAGCTCTCTTAACACCAAATTCTTTGGAACACTGCAGATTTGCTTCGGAGGTAGATAAAAGAAATCATGCAGGTAGGTATACTATTGAGGGGGAAAAAATTAGGTTCTTTAAAGAACATCATGACTAAAAAGTTGGTTTTTTGTTCATGGGGTCTGGAGGACTTTGCACATCTAACCGTTATTTATACTGAGAAATAATCACAGATCAAATTCTTACCTGTCCCTCAAAAGCAAAAACAAATTTCCCTTCAGCCTGTGCTATCTACAGGCTGAAGAAGGGCCAATAACCTTTTTATTACAGCACTGCAGTTTCCCTTCCAGATGTGTGACACATAAACAGATCATGCACCTTTCTCCAACAAAATTTCATTGTGTCAGTGTCACCAGTGATGTTACAAACAATTAAAAAAATTGACAGCAAGTTCAAAACGTTTCTAAATATTGAAATCACAATGCTTTAAGGACAGACTGGAATGTTACAAATGATTTTGCAAAATACAAAAATAGATATGCTTCCATCGAATGTGTTAATCGTTTTTCCGATCACTCCCGTCCTTGGGGTCTTCATCATCTGAGTACACAGTGGGCTCCTCCCCTTCCTTCAGCAGTTTACCCACGTGATGGTACTTGACTGGATGTGGAGGAAAAGAAAAATCAAACCACAAGTGGTCATCCTCATGCTTTAGCAAAAATGACTTTTCTTTTAGATTTTTCATTCTAACGCACTTATTTCTAGCCCATGATATACTCAGCCCATGCTATTAGGTGGGTGATTTGAGGGATTCAAAGGTGAGTGATAAGCCAGTCCTTTATCATCGGGAATTTTGTTAAGAACCATGAAAACAGGTAGCAAGTATTGGGTGGTGAGCACAAGGTTATGCCAAATTGAATGATGTCTGTGTATAGTAATGCTTAGAAGAGCCAAGATTCACCTTTGAGTTAGAGGAACAGCAAACACTTTGAGGAAGACAGGCACTAAGGCCACGCTTTGGAAAATGTATGGGACCTGGGAGGGAAGAGATCTGCAGAGGTTGAGAGTACTATGTATAAAGGAAAGCAGATGATAATGAGCCTACCTGGGGAGCAATAAAGAGACTGAAGTTGACAGGAGTGGAAGTGGCATTTGAAAGGAGGAAGCAATAAGGTTGACTAAGCAGTATGGGGAAATACTGAGGTGTCTGAAAAGAATGCCTGAGGAGTTTGGATTCATTATCATATAGATGGCAAAGGGCATTGAGTAAAAGAATGAGACAAGAAAACAGAGCTTTAGCAGCAAGGTTATAGCTTTCTGGTGTATGGGAGGAATTGCAGGAAGGAGAGACTTAGAGCAAGGCTCCCAGGAGGCTAGTATGTGAATCCAGAGGTGCAAGGAGAGCCAGAAATAAGATGGCGCCCGCGGGAAGGGGAAGGGAAGGTAGCAGGACAGGAAAACTGGACACAGGAGTTAATGAGGTGCAGAATAGCAGAACCCAGACAGAAATGGGGACCCCCCCCCAGAATGAGAGCCACTGTGCAGAAGCACATGACCTGATCTACACTAAGGATGGGAGAAATGAAGTGTGAAGTTAGTGTTGGCAAGAAGCTGGAAGCCTTTGAGAAAGCAAATTCAATAGAATTAAATAGTGGGGGCGGAAGCTGTGTACCAGGAAGGAGAGGGAAGGTGTAGAGAGGAAATGATGCGGTGATTAAGGTCCACTTCCTGGAAGTTTGATAGTGAAGGGAACGAAAAGGGAAGAGTTCAGAGGCTAGCATGTGAGAGTTTCTTCCTAATGTGGAGAAAAGAAAAAAAAAATCTATGCATAGTTAAAGTGTTAAGGAACCACAAGAGGCTGGAGATTTTGGAGAAAACACGTCTAAGCATGCAAAGCATAGTGCTTTTTTCCTTCAAGACTTGAGAAGGATGGAGTTAGCTAAGCTAATCTAGTAAAGAGTTAATCATTGCAAACCCAGAAGCCCAAAGGACTGGATCTCCTCTGTCTGAACATGGGAAGGATTAGAGGAGTAACCAACCTGTCTAACCAGGTAACCAGAGCTGTTTTTGTGTGAAATGATCATCAGGCACAATTGCAACTTCCCTATTTGAACATATTCTAAAGATCCCTAAGGTGCTTTGGGCTGTTCAAGACAAAGAAGAGGTGTTTTTTTGTTTGTTTGTTTTGGTGTTCGTTTTGTTTTTTTTTTCCCTTCAAAAAAAGCCAGTGGTGCCTGGCAAACTTCCTTCAGGGGAATCCACCCTGGCTCTGGGTGAAGTTGGGGTGTCACAATAGTATATGGGGCTTGTAAGAAGGGAGGAGGAGGGGAAGAAAAGGCTTTTCTCACATTAAAGAAGGCAAGTCCCAGGAGACAGACCTTTGTAAATGACACATTCCGACTCACTGGTTTCACATAGACAAATCCATTGTTACCGAGGCATCCACAGGATGCCAAAACCTGAGAGCCTAGGTTAGGGGGTGGCGTTTTGATTTTCAAAGTACAGAAACTTGCCTTCAGATTGGAAAGCTCCACTTAGGAGTCTTGAGAGGCTGGCTAAAGGTGGAGCTCCAGGTGGCTAATGATTATCCCAGGACTCTCTGAAGTCAGCATTATTGCCAAAGAAAAAAGGTCGGATTTTGCCAAAAGAGCTATACTATTTGGGCATTCATAGCAAACAGAAAATTTTTGAAATACAAAACAAAAAACAGCTTTCCTCGAAGAAATAGTAATTTTCTTTGGCTACTGTTTTAGGATTATTCTAATACTTGGCAGTGAAATATTTAAGATGATCATTTATTATCCTTGGGCTTTAGAAAAGCCGAATTCTGAATTCTCCAAAGTTGAATGTACCTCCCCATCATTCTTACTTTGCTCCAAAGACTTCAGCCCATAGATTAAGCTATGATACAAGTGATTCCTATTTGTTTTGGGGTTTTATTGTTTGGTGGGATTTTTTTCCCATTTAAAAAAAAAATGCAGACAACATTGTTGCCGGGCAGATTATAAGCATGGTTTGTAGACAAGGCCTATGGTTAGGCTTGATTAGGTTCAAAGAGAAGCTGCTTTGTAGAATACAAGTTTCCCATTCTTCTACAAAGATGTGGGCTGCTTCTGAAGGCAAATTCTACTGCTGTAGTCCAACATGGTCACTGCTCTTTTCCTGGCACCCCAAGCACCCAAATACTTTGTGCAGGAGCCCTGAAAGCCTTCAAAATATTAACAAACAGAACCTCAAGTTTCCATAGCAAACTAGCTAAAAACTGGTATGCAGTCATAGTGAGTGACTCAGCACTGCTGCAATTACTTAAAGTGAACTTGATCCGCCCCAACACTCAGGAACCTATCAAAATGCTCCTAAGTTTCAGGCCACTTGCAATGACTATTGTACTGCCACGATTCCCCATTACTGGCAGAAATTTGATCCTGGCACAATTGAAAAGAAGAGAAAAGAAAAATGCTTACAAGTGAATTGAGAGTCCCAGTCACTGAGGGTCTCCTGCTGGGTAGCATTGAGGTCAGACAAGTCGTCATACTCATCCTTCAGTGCTTCCTTATCAAGGCAAAATGTGGCAAGGCCTCTGGATGCATCTCTTCCAGCAAAGACCCCATAGGGTCCCTCTTTAAAAACAAAACCAAACCAAACGCTGATTCTCTATTACACAGTGAATTTCCTTGTGCTTTGTACACAGAAAATGCCTTCCTTACCCATCAATATGGAAATCCCCCCATTTTTATTTTTTTTATTTTATATTGGTGTGTATACAAATTCGTATACATTGTGTGTCATCCACATACAGTGTGTTTCACACATTCCCTCCTTCACATTGGATTTCGTATGATCATTCTCATACACTATCTTTTCTAAAATTAATCACTACCGACCTACGCTCACTGTCACCTGTCTTTTCAGGTCCCCGCTGGATCTATCCTAATTCCTTCAGGCCCTACCTTTACCCACCAAACCCTCTCTTTGGAAGATCAAAATCCATTCAAATACCATTTGTTTTTATTGAAGTTATAATGAAACCTCAATCATTATGCAATGCACATTGACAAACCTGTTGCTTTACCTTGTAACTAACTAAACAGGAAGTAAAAATGCTAAACATTTTCCACCAATCTTGGAGGAATTTCCAATACAGGTAGCTCTTCAGCTAGGGATGAATCAACCCCATACTTTCTACTATATTAAAAGATCAAGGTACAAACAATGGCTCATGAAAACAGAGAGTATTTTGCAAAATTTATCAAAACATTATTACTACTTTATCAGTATATTAAGGGTGTGTGGATGTATCTGGAAGTGTTTAATGCTTTTTATTGCATAGAAAGATACATTATGTAATATATATTGAAACACTTAACTGCTGAAGCTAGATAGAAAGCATACCTACCTGTTATGAATTATTTATGAATTTGACTTAGAGACAGCCTTAGGAATGAAACTCTGGTACTGTCTGTAGCTAGGAAAAGGTCATGAATGAACATTGCCTGGGAGTAGGGTGTAAGAAATGGTCCACAAGTAAATACTGAGTCTATGGGTCAGAATTTGACATGAAGACATTGAGCCTAGAGTCTGTGTTAGGTACGGGGGTGGTTTTGGTTTCTTAAAGGAACAAGCATGAATGAGCAAACAAAGGTATTTCCTTTCAAACGCATCGATTTTTCAAAAAGTGAGTGAGTCAAAGGTATTGTATAGAGCTCGCTGGTTGCAAGAGTCAATTAAACATTAACATGTCACTTTATAAGATTATCAGTCGATCAAAAATCTATCCCCATGTTACATAACCTTCACTGTCAATAAATAAGAGAGCACAGGAGATTAGCACGTGCCCTGTTTTTTGTGGGTTTTGTTTTAGGCAAACTTGAAGAGGAAGAAAACAGTAAAACTTGAATTGGGAGGGGTAAGGGACAACCCCCTACTCCCCCAAATCATTCTGTAAAAATCTGAATACATACACACACAGAAAGAATGCTTGTTTAACAGCAGCAAATCATTCTTCAGGTACTTAAAGTGGATGTTTAACCCACTGCCATAGTGTCGATTCCAGCGCAGAGTAGAACTGCTCTATAAGGTTTTCAAAGCTGTCATTTTTCTGGAAGCAGAATGCCACATATTTCTTCCGTAGGAGCACTGGGTTCAAACCACCAATTTTCTGATTAAGAGTTGACTACTTCAGTAATGTGTCATCAAGGCTCATTTTAAAAAAGTAGATTGTACAAAAAATTTAAAGAATTCAGCATACTTGAAGCAATATATAGTTTCCCCCAAGGGATACTGAGCAGTAAGCTTGAAATGAAAAACGTAACCATTATATTGTGATTGAATAGATCAAGTTTTCATCATGACCATGTCATCTGACAGCACGATCCACTAGGCACATTTTCATACTTTAAGATTCCTCTCCCCAAATGGTTGTTTGTAATCATTATTGTTATTGTTTCCATTTATAGAAGGGGGGAACCAACCCCAACCTTTCATATGTTTTTCACTCCCCATGAAGATGGTAATCCCTTGTGCTTGAAAATAGGCAAACTGTGCTGGTTTGAACCACATCATTTCAGAAATCTTGGTGATGATATGGTCAAATTTCAGAATACCTAAAACAAGGCCCAAGCATGAACAGTCTTTGGCAAATACGTAACATTCACCACAGTGTATATTAACTGGCATGGAAGCCTAATTGGCATGAATTTGTGTCCATTCTCTTCACCACCATACTCCCAGCACCTATAGCAGTGCCTGGTACGAGGGAGCTGGCATCTGAGTGGGTAATTCTTAGGCCTCCTTTATGAAGTAGCATTTCCATGATGATGTAATAGATTCACAGGCTCACTGTATGACACTGCAAGGTGGAGACTTAGAAGAATGTGTTGATGGGCCGTCCTTACCCTTTTTCAGAGAAAAAACCCAAACAAACCAACCCCAAAGCCTAGGAGAAAATAATGATTTGTATGACGTTACACAGCTGTTCAATGACTCAACCAGGTCTAGAACTTGGTAGGGTTGAATCAGTATTGACAATTTAACTCGACCCCTGGGTGATTCCTAGGCTCTAGTTAAACTGTAGATTCTGATTGTTTTGTTTTTTAAAAAAATCAGGGTTAAGAAAAACATTCTCAGCAGGGGAATGTGTGTGTGTGTGTGTGTGTGTGTGTTGTGTGTGAGACACCAGTTGAAAGCCCTAACTAGACCCCAGATTGCCTGACACACATCCCTGTCCCCCTCCCCCGCTGTGCTCTGTGCATAGGCCTCTCAATGACTTTGCAAACTACAGACATTGAGGGCGTCCATGTTGTGACTACTTTGGAGTGGCAAACAGAAATCACAGGCATTTGCACCACTGCTTACTGATAAATACCACTAAAGGTGACAAAAACAGGTGTGGCGTTCAAGCGATTTTGACAGTTTGATGCCTCCAGGATGTGGTTCTTCTAAATCGTCCACAGGGAGAACCATTAAGTGGGGGAGTGTTGCAAGAACCTTACCACATCTGATTTTAATTAGTTAGATTGAATGAGTAAGTGAGCAGCAGGGCCAGGGATGGTAAGCTTTCCTGGCCAGCGTGGGAGAAGCGCAGGGCGCTGGATGTGGACAGAGCCCTCCCAGCTCCTGTCTGTACAGGAGTCCATATTGAAGGATCTACTAATTCTCTCCCGCCTCCTCTGTAAATAATATACAAACGAGGACTTTTCCAAAACTGACTGCTTCTTAAAATTTGCCTGGGAGAACTTGTGAAAATGCAGACTCTGGGTCCCCGCCCACAGAGACGCTTCTTCTGGGGTTAGGCTGGAGGATCTGTATTCTTTTCCTAAAGTGTCTCCAGCGATTCTCATGCGCAACCAGGTCTGGGGGGGGGGACCCTCTCACCTCTCAGAACCGCTTCAAATCTGCTCCCCGCAACAGCACAGTTGCGAGACCCCCCCTCTTTATCTACCCTCTTAGTTTCTCTTGATATTCCCCTCACCCAGCGTCCCTCCCTCCTAGGCCAACTTTTTGTTTCTCAGGACCCTCCCACTTCTCCCTCGCTCCCTCCATATTTTTTTTCTTTTTGTATTGAGCTTTTTTTTTTTTTTTGGCTTCCAGCTTCTGACTAAACAGTGTATCGCCTTATCTCTGGGCGGCATAATCACTGTCCACCACTTGCAGCCTTTATTCTTCCCTCAACAGCTCACTTCCCCCCATGGAGTCGCCCTTGTCCACTCTCTCGCCTTTGCCTCCGCCATACAGAGCAAGCGCGGGGGCGCGCGCACCCCCCCAACACATGCCACACACATACCTGACACATGCCATCCCTTGTGCACGCGTGCGCACGCGCACACGTACACACACACACACACACACACCCTTGACAAACCACAGACACTCACCAGGCGCACACGCATCGCTTATCACAACGCACAACGCCTCCACTTGATAGTTCCATCTCCCACACTCCCACATTCCACCAAGGCTATTCCTGGCGTCAATGGCCTTCGCATTATCTCCAAGCCTGGACTGCCCGCCTCCCCTGCTCTCTGGAGCCCGCCCGTGATTGTTTCTCTCCTGCCCGCCACCACTACCCCTTCCAGGATGCCCCCAGCCTGAGATCTTCTAAACTCACCCCCACTTGCACCTTTCTACCTCCGTGGTCCCACCCACCCTGGGTCTCAGCCCCCAGAGGCTTTCTTCGTCCTGATCTCAGCCCTGGATGTGTGGGCCGGGGATAGGTGGCCCCCAACTCGGTTTGAAGCCCTCCCTGCGCACCCGGGGAACCGCCCAGCTCCCCGGAAGGCTCGCCCCCTCCACCCGGTCTCATCGCCCCCAGCCCCTCCAGAGTCCTCCCCCAGGCCCAACCGCCCAGCCCCACACTGTGGGCCCCCCTTTCTTTTGTCTCTGCGCCCCAGTGGCCGGCCCCCATACCCGGCCCGTAGAACTTGCGGCCTTTGGTCACGTCGAACACCTTGCCGTTGATGGCCATTAGGATGCGAGGGTCCTGGATGCCATCGTAGCGCCGCAGCTCGGCCAGGGTGAAGTCGCGCCGCTTGAGGCGGGGCAGCGGGGGAGGCTCGTCATCGTCGCTGTCGCTGTTGGCCGTTGGCTGGTCCCCGCGCACGATCTTGTAAAGCAGGAAGATGCAGAGGCCGAGCAGCAGCAGGTTGAGGGGCGAGGTGAAGATCTCGTGCAGTAGTCCTCCCTCCAGCTCGCCGGAGTCGGCGCCCGTCGCGGCCACTTCTTCGGCAGCCATGATCGCTGGAGCAAAGGTTGGGTCGGGCAGAGTGAGTTTGGGCTCCGGAACTAGCCGCTTCCTCCACCCTCTTCGCCGAGACTGGCGGCGAGAGCTGGGGCGCAGAACGCTGAACGCGCGGAGTGGGCGGGGCCAGGCGCGAGGTGGCTACGGGGTGGAGTCTGGAAGCCCCGCCTCAGGCCCCGCCCACCCGCTCGGCCCTTCCCCACACCCTTGGCTGCAGGCGCTAGCCGAACCCTGCGAGCTGAAGGCAGTGTACCTCACTGTGTAGTGCCGCCCACCGTCCCTTCTACCTGCAGCTCCCCACGCAGACTCAAGAGCCATTCCCACTCCAGCCGCTAGCCAGGCCCTCCTCTGTCATGCCCCGCCCCCGGACCCCGGTGCTCCCCCCGCGCCACTCACCCTTCAGCTCAGCTGGGAAGCGACGCCCCCTCCCCCACCTGCTGCGTGCCAGACTCCGCCCTCCTGCGAGCCCCTCATCTTCCTTCCTCTGGCCATCCCAGGGGACTCAGAGGCCATGTTTGCAAGCTAGAAACTCATTCTTTGGAGCTCCTTTTATTCCACTTTAGAGACTCAGACAACCCACTTTCACCCCAGAGACCCCTATGCACGGACTAACCCCTAATCCTACACCCCCACCCCCACCCCAGCTCAGAGGCTGTGGGGCGGACACCAGTGTTGCACCTCCAAGTGCCCAGGCCTGTCTGACAACTCTCCCAATATCTGGGGAAAGGGATAGGCTAGCAGATTTACTTTGAGCCTGTTCTAGAAAAATTAAACCCTTTTGCAATCTCCAATTTGCTCAGTCACAAGGCATCGCTAAGCAACATTCTCTTGTACATTTCACATGCGCGCGCGAACACACACACACACACACACACACACACACACACACACGCCCACCCTCGTATAATGGCCAAAGTTACATTGTTTGGTAATGTTCTTTTTGGGAATATCTCCGCTTCTATTCCCTAGTTTATTTCGTCCAGCCTTTGATGTGCTCGCAAGCTGAACAAGAGGAGTAGGCCTCTGTGGAGGAATGATCACCTCTCCCCTGTGAAGTCCTCCTGTAGCCCTGCTCTCTAGTGCAGAAGGGGGAAGGGAGCGGAAGAAAGGCTGCAGAAAGGGGGGAAATAATTAAAACCAAGCCGTGTACACATCTGCTGCCCAGAGCAGTACTTTTCCATCAATGATTATGTTCTCTTGCATAGAATTTACTCCCCACCCCCAAACACGCAGGAGTCATGAAGAGAGAGAGAAATGGCTTTTCTTACCTTAGAATTCTAAAACCTCAATGGGCCAAACATTTCTGGTCTCTAAATCTGGCATTGGGCACCTTCCTTCTCCCCTCCTCAGTGTTCTTAACATCACTTAAAAAGTGCACATCAGCCAATCTTTAAGCTGGGCCCACACATTTGCTCACAGAGCAAAATTTAGGATTCACTGAAATGGCCCTTGTAAGATCTTTTGTGAAATCTCTTTAATTTAATAGGGGGGTGGGTGGATGGCATCTCAAGCAGAAAACATTCCTCCGTTGTCAAATTGTAGCTGTCTTAAACAAAAAACCAAAACCCAAAAACAACCAAAAATGAGGATGCTCTGATGGCCTAGTAGGTAAGGTGTTCCCTGCCAGCCCTAACGCAGGCAGTTGGAATCCACCAGGGGTCTGCAGGAGAAAGTTTCCTCCAGTGTGATTTACAGCCTTTCTCCAAATGGTCATGGTTAGCCTAGTGTTAAGGAGCTGCACTGACAACCCAAAAGTGCATGGTTCAAATCTACCAGTCCTCTCTGTGAGAGAAAAGGGGGCAGTATCCTCCTGTAAAATTTACTGCCTCTGAAAACCCGCTAAAGCGTCAGTTATGAGTCAGTTTGGACTTGACAGTAAATACTTTGGCCAAAATACATGGCCAAGATACTTTTAAAAAAACAATAAATCTTGTGAAGAGTGTTTTCGTTTGCAGCTAACATGACAAAGGATCTGTATCCTTCAAGAGCTCTTTTCAATTGATCAAATATATTAGATTCTGGCTATTAAATGGACATGAACAGGGACAGGTAGTTCACCATAAAGGGTATTACCAGCAGTGCATAAGCCTTTGAAAAATGTTTAGTATCACTAGTGATGGGCGGGGGGCAGAGAGAAAAATCAAGATGGCACTTTGAACCCTGTGTAGTCACTGCCAGGTCCTGTTTCATCTTCATGATCTCTGATCTCAAGACCATTGTGGCAGGCACACTGCCTCATGAACCCTCTATCACAGATAAGTAGTAAAGATGAAAGAAAAGATAGAATACAATGCTGGTTAGAGACAACTGAGATACATACTGTTGTTAAGGTCAAAGCCATTACTGTTGAATGGAAACTGACTCAGAGCTGACCCTCCAGCAAGTTTTCAGAGGCAATAAATCACACAGGATTTGATTGTTCATCTGTCTTTCACAGAGCAACTGGTGGATTTGAAAGTCTTGCTTTGACATCACAGTTCCTTGCCACTAGACCACGAAAGAACTGAATGATAACAAACCTATAAAATGACATATGGCATAGCCATCCAAATACCATCATGGCATGGGAAAATGCATTTTTATTTTAAGAGAGAAAAGCAGGAAACACAATTATATACAGTCTGAATTCAACTATGTAAAAAACAAATACATTTTTTGTAGCAAAGGAAGCCTGAAAGGAAACCTGATAAAAGGTTAACATTTGAATGTTAGTTTCTTCTTTTCTACATTTCAACAAGGAGCATTTGTAGCTTTCAGTGGGGAGAGAGTGTGTGGCAATTTACTGTTTCATTTCTGAAAAACATAGAAGCATAATACATGTTCATGGAGCTCTGAGGGCTTAGTGGCAAGGCATTATACTGCCAACTCAAAGGTATGCACTTTGATGGGGATTTGTACACCAATGTTTACAGCCACATTAGTCACAATAGCAAGAAAATGAAAACAGCCCAAATGTCCATTAACAAGTGACTGCATTGAGAAATTGTGATACAGTCACACCATGGAATATTATGTAGCACTCAGGAGCAATAATTTTAAAAACATACTCTATAACATGGGAGAGGCTAGAAATTATTATCCTGAGTGAACTAACTCAGTCTTATAAAGACAAATACTACATAAGACCATTATTGTAAAAACAGAATAATAACTATTAAGATGTGGATAAATGTCCAAAGGGGAAGTGAAGGAGGCAGGGGGCCTGAGGGTGGGGAGGAGGGAATCACAGGATCACAGAGTTTGGTGGGTGCAGAGAGAGAGTTAAGGAATATTGTTGTTTGGTGCCATCTGTATGACCCATAGCGACCCTATGAACAATAGATCTGAACTATGTCCTGTCCTGTGCCATCCTCACACTTCCTGACACACTAGAGTCCATTGTGGCAGTCACCGTATCCATCCATCTGATTGAGGTTCTTCTCCTTTGCTGACCCTCTGTCTTTCTGAGATTCTTTTGCACTCTAAGGAATAGCCTCTCCTAACAACATGACCAAAGTATGTGAGGCAAAGCCTCATAATCTTTGCCCCCAAGGAGCAGTCTGGTTTCACCCTTGCCAAGACACATGTTCATTCTCTTGGCTGCCCATGGAATGTTCCATACTCTTCTCCAACACCACAGCTCAAAGGCATAAATTCTTTTTCTGCCATCCTTATTCATTGTCCAGGTCTCAGATGCATAGCTAGTAACCGGAAAGACCATGGCCTGAATCAGACACACCTTAGTCCTCAAACTGACATCACTACTCCTCAGTAATTTGGACAGGTCCCTAGCTGAAGACTTTCCCAGTGTAATGTGTCTCCTGATTTCCTGACTGCTGGCACCAAGGGTGTTATTTGTGGATCCAAGAAAGATTAAGCTATTGACAGTTTCAGTCTCCTCTCCATCCACTATGATGCTGCCTATCGGTCCAGTGGTAAGAATCTTTGTTTTCTTTATATTGAGATGCAATCCAGACAAAAGGCTGGGTTCCTTGATCTTCTGCAACAAGAGATTCAAGTCTTCCTCATTTTCAGCAGGCAAGGTTGTGTCGACCACTTAACCCAGGTTATTTATGACTTTCCCTTCAATCCTGATGTCACACCCTTCCTCATAGAGTCCAGCTTCTCTAATACTTTGCTCAGCACACAGATTGAATAGGTGTGGAGAGACAATACCCTGACACACTCCCTTCTTAATTTTGAACCACACAGTGCTCCCTTGCTCCGTTCACCCACTAGCCTCCTGTTCCAGGTATAGGTTTTACATGAGAACATTTAAGTGTTCTGGGACTCCCATTCTTCTCAGAGTCAGCCACAACTTGTTATGATCCGTACAGTCAAATGCCTTTGCATAGTCAATAAAGCACAAATAGGCATTCTTCTGGGATTCTCTACTTTCAGCTAGGTTCCATCTGACATCAGCAATGATATCCCTAAGATGTGTATGAAAGTCCTATGGGGGAAGTGGAGGAGGCAGCAAGGCTGAGGGGGGGTGGAAGGCTCACCGGGTCACAGATTTTTGTGGGCACAGGGGTGAAGGAATTAGGAAAGATCTAGTGGGGCCCTGAAAAGATGAGGTGCTAGTGGACATAGATCAATGGTGATTAATTTTATAAAACACAATATAGGGGAATGATAGTATGAAACACAATGTGAATAAAGGAATGTGTGAAAAATAGGAATGAAATATAATGTATATAAATTTTGTATGCAAAGCAATATAATTTTTTTAAAAGGTAGCTTGGGAAATCAGGAAAAATCAGGAAATCAGGAGACTAATTGCATTGGGAAAGTCAGCTGTAAGGGACCTCTCAAGAGTACTGAAGAGCAGCAACATCAAGCTGGAGACTAAGGGGTGCCTGATCCAGGCTATTGTTGTTGTTGTTATGTGCCATGAAGTCTTTTGCGACTCATAGCAACCCTATGTACAAGAGCCCTAAACGCTGTTCTATCCTGTGCCAACCTCGCTGTATCACATTCATTTCCACCACTCCACTCACAGAATCGATCCATCTCATTGAGGGTCTTCCTCTCCTGAGCCGTCCCTCCACTCTGCCAAACATGATGTCCCTCTCCAAGGA